TTGTAGAGAACTTTATAACCTAGTTCAGAATAAAGAAAGTACACTGCGATATGTAGGAAATCAATTTCCCGCTTTTAATTATTGCTATTTTTTTAAGCCAGGTTTTTGTAACATTAGAAAACAAAGGCCAGATAATTTATTTCTCCAACTTCCAATAACTAACTTTCCGTCCTATTTAGGATGAAAATTTTCGTTATTTGAAACCATACTCTGGCTTTGCCGGGGGCCGCAATATAGCCTGGTCATTAATATGGCTTAAAGGCTGAACACGATTTCTGGGACCTCTCCACGGTGATCCTCACCCACATGGTGGCACATTGTGTCATCGGGTGCTTATCGCTTGTGTGATGTCCTGGTGGGGTAGAAAGTCAATCAGTCAGTCCAACTTCCACGTCCTTACACGTACTGGGCCGGGCCGATGTGGCCATTACGAATGCCATAATTATAACTTGTTCTGGGGATTGAACGGGGAATCTGGGATCTGCTTGGCTGGTCTCTCATTTCAGACTGATATATTTTTATCTTAAGGTGATAAACCTCCTAACAGCAGTTCAGAAGGGACAAACCGATCGATCACTCGATCCGTCTTCCACATGTCATGCCAGCTGGTTTGGGCAACCATGTCGCCGCACAACCTAAACTTTCTACTGCCATTTACTGTAAAACATGTAATGTATAACAGTGTGATTACCTTCGCCTCTGTGCCTTTTTGAGTTTACCCATGATAATGCTATATTCCAATATTTGGCGGGTTTTTCGCTTTTCTGCACGGGTATGAGATTATATCCCACTGTAGGCGTGGGTTCTGACTAGTAAGTATTGTCACCTAATTTTGCTTATTGAGTGTATCAAGTCTGGGCCCATGTTTCAGACATATTTTAATTGTCTGGGTGCTCATAAAAATGGACGAACTGGTACATGGTAATTATGAATGCAGACAAGCAGACTAAAAATATATGAATCTTGGCTTGATTTTCAAAATTATGTATTTGTATGATTACTTTGTTGCTTCCATGAATATACACTCTGTGCTTTCTTCTTCTCTTTTTAGAATGACTGCACACATGTACGTCAGTGGGTGTACATTCGCGTGTGTGCATCTGTTGGTTTGTTTTACTATCCATATGCATTATAACACACACGCGCACACACACACACGCACACACGCACACCCACACACAATAGCTGTGTGGCAGGGGAGAAAAGAACTCAGTTGAACAACTGACTTCCCTTTTGGTTTTTGGGTCCCACTGCCACCAACAAGCATGTCGTAAAGTCGACTAATTAGGGGTGCTTCTTTCGAAGTAAAAGGGCATCTGTCTTAGAGGCGAGGAACCAACAGTTTGCAGACAAATAAGCCAAATCTAAATAAAAGGAAATGCACACAAAACGGAAGTTTTGGGACACGACCAACGTCCAGAAGTGGACCAACAACTAGAACTTTGCCATTGAGTTCACAGATTGTAATTGCTAACACAATAGAAGAAGAAGAAGAAGAAGAAGAAGAAGAAGAAGAAGAAGATGGTCGCCCAGAAATCCACGTAACAAATTTAAGAGGTCAGTGAAATTATATATATATATATATATATATATATATATATATATATATATATATATATATATATATAATTTCATATATAAACACACACATACGCACACATTTTATTTTAAAATCCTTAACTTTCAAATGTAGTATTTTGTGTGATTCTAAAAGTTACTTGCATATCATTTACAGGACGTTGCAGAACCAACCCCAGCATTTTTTGGCTGTTGTGGTATTTCTATGCACATTTTAAGTCCATTAGTTTGCCATTGCTTCTGGGCGATCGGCTTCTAAATACCACTGTCGAAATCAACGCAAGACGCAAAGCCCGCAGCTGGGATCGAAGCCGGCATACCAGCATTACGAAGGGCGTTCGTAATGCCTAAGCCACAGACGCAGACTTCGTGTTTCTGAAATATATAAATTATAAGTGTTTTTAGCATGACTATTAGGAAGTATGGGATCCATGAGTGACTTACAAAATGCAAGAGGGGATTCTTTTTGAGTCTTGTATGACTGGTAACCACTGGTCTACGTTTGTGTTTTTATAGCACATCCTTGCTCACATAATAACAAAGTATACATTTACAACTTGAAAACCATCATAATGATGGTAATATTGCTGTTTATATGTACACGTGTTTGTGTGTGTGTGTGTGTATGTATATATATATATATATATATATATATATATATATATATATATATATATACTAGTGTACACATGTTCATGTCTGTATGTATACATATCTATACATGTGTACACATGTTTATGTCTGTATGTAAACTTATCTATACATGTGTACACATGTTTATGTCTGTATGTAAACATATCTATACATGTGTACACGTGTTTATGTCTGTATGTATACATATCTATACATGTGTACACGTGTCTATGTCAATATGTTTACATATCTATACATGTATAATTACAACATGTCCCAGACAGTGTGTTCCTCTTCTTTACGTTTACCGGCTGTAAACGCTAACTGAAAGTTCTGGTTGTTCATCCATTTTTAGACTCTAGTCCTGTTGCAGAACATGGGTGTTATCTGCACATCCGTTTTACAGATCTGACTTACTTGTATGTAGACTGCTGGTTCCTCGGCTCACAGGCAAGTGCACTCCGACTCCAAGTGAAGCTCTCAATAAGTCAACACTTGACATGCTTTTGAATAGGCTGTGAGTCTATTCTTGTTCTCTCCACAATGGGGCCCCTGAACTAACGAGGAGAGACAACGTAGAAAGTATCACTCTTGATTTCTATGTATCGCTACCGTAAAAAAAAAAAAAAATGTCTTCTCTTACCTTTTTTTTTTAAAAACATACGTCTTAAGAATATATTTTAAACAATTTGTATTTATCCATTTCCAAAGTCAGTAAATTAAAATATTAAGGGCAAATCAAATTATCGGTAGAAATGTGGCAGAGTTTAAGATTAGGATAGTATGCATAATTGATGTTTGCATTCTAGAAGATACAAATCCTATGTGCACTCTTAACCGCCCGCCCCCCCCCATCCCCGCCCCTCCCAGGGGTGGGTGGCAGGGAAGGAATTGAAAAGACCCAGTGCCTCTAGTAGGCATGCTATAAAGGGATAGTTTTTAGGTATTTTCAGAAATCACATGCAGCGGGCCAAAAAGGCGAGGATCTGGAAACCTAGTTATCACCCACAATACGCCCCCTCCCAACCAAACTCTCAGGGACGAATTATTATTAGTAATAAAAATTATAATCAAAAATAATAATAACAAGAAGAGGAAGAAGAAGAAGAAGAAGAAGAAGAAGAAGAAGTAGTAGTAGTAGTAGTAGTAGTAGTAGTAGTAGTAGTAGTAGTAGTAGTAGTAGTAGTAGTAGTAGTAGTAGTAGTAGTAGTAGTAGTAGTAGAAGAAGAAGAAAAAGAAGAAGAAGAATATTGTAATTTATAAATCATAAGTCTCCGTGTGCCTGCAGCTTTACAATTTTTCTGTTTTCTGCTGGTCTCCAATCTTCAGAAAGGAGGTATTCTATAATTTATCGGTCTATATATTGTCAGTAATAACGTAAATAGGGGGTGACTGCAGTCAAGCTGATTGCAAGAAATTCTGACTATATAGCTTAACGGAGGTAATGGAAAAGAGGCAGACAAACACAACTGAACGTTTCAACCAGTCTTTATCAACGGAATAGTAAATACAGCACAAGCAATGACTGGAAAAACTCAAGGGACAAGATAAAGGAGCTAATAAGGTCAACATGAAACCTAGAAGTAGGTCATGTTTCATGTTGATCTTAGTCTGCCTATTGTCTATTCCTTCTGTTTAGCCTTCTAGTAAACTTTTATGTTATATTTAGCATATATATTGTCAGAAATGTTGCAATCTACTATCACTTGTGAAAGTGTAAGTAGCCCGGCTCGCTAGCGTAGTTGGCTAAACCAGACTGCGCGGTGACCGGGTGACGAACTCCTTGTGGTCCGGGTTCATGCCCGGGAGTAGGCAGAAAAGCCACATCTCTCCCAGATTTACGGTATTTATCATGGAATCAAGGCCGAAGGGTTGCGATATCCATAGTACCGAGCCAAAGGGTTAACAACTCATGGTTTCTGGATACTTTAAAAACAAAAGTGTAAATGAAACTTTATTGCACTGGTATTTATTTTCCATGGTATTTATTTTCCAGAGTTCCTAGAACAAGGGCGAGAAATATTTAGCCTGTAGACCATTTATGTAAAGGGGGGAAAAAAAAGAATAATTTGTTTTGACCCAATCAAAACTGAACCAATTATAATTGTGATCAAATACAGAGGATGATGATAGCGAGACATATTTGGCACTCACAAAACATCCCTTTCATATAGGAGTTTCTTTTTGATCCATCATCAACATTTTCAACATAAATATTATCTTCATGAGTATAATCATCATCACCACCATCGCTGTCGTCTTCACCATCATCATCATCATGTATTTCAACAAATGGGCTTGTGAAATTTCCGGATCATTCCATTCTAAAGTTGTCTTACCTGGGCTGCTTTCTTTAATTCCATGTATTATGACATGATCTGTTCATATCTGCTTTATACATCTTCCTCTTAACCTACCTGTTAATTCCTTCTCGTAATTTTACCTTTAAGTACTTGTTTGTGTGCTGTTTTTGTATGTGTGAGAACAGTGTTTCCCATTTAATGGTCTCCGGACCTCCAGAATATATGTAAACAGTCCGTGATATCTTTTACACACACACAAAATATCCCCCCCCCCCTCGCCTCCTCCTCTTTCTCCTTCTCCTTCTTGTTTCTTCTTCTTCTTTCACTTTATTTTATACTTCTCTGCATTCACTCATCGGCAGAGAATTTGTCTAACTCCGGATTTTAGTCTCGTTCAAGCACTCGAGTGTCGCGTGCACATCCCTTTCACAGATCTCTCTTATTTTGCTTGCAGACTCATGGTTCCTTGCCTCTTATGCAGATATA